CTCAGCCTCCTGAGTAGCTGGGATTACAGGCACGCGCCACCATGCCCAGCTAATTTTTTGTATTTTTAGTGGAGACGGGGTTTCACCATGTTGACTAGGATGGTCTCGATCTCTTGACCTTGTGATCCACCCGCCTCGGCCTCCCACAGTGCTGGGATTACAGGCTTGAGCCACCGCGCCCGGCCCTCAACAAATTCTTATCAAGAACATTGTTGTAGGAAATTAGAAATAAGAGAAATTAATCACTGTGTTTTTAGCACCAACTTATTTTTCTAAAATTAGGTTCTCAAACCAGCAAGGGCCTCTCAGCTTCTGGTAATAGCACCCACTTTAGAGGGTAGTGACAATATTTAGATAAAATAATGCACAGGGCCCAGCATGTGGTAAGCACTCAGAAAGTAGCAGCTATTATGATGAAGAGTGGTAGTTGACCACTACCTTGAACTTCTGGAAAAAAATCATTAATAAATGGCTCACACTGACTCTGCAGAAGTTAAGCGTTTTTTGTGCTCAGAAAGGCCTATGAGACTTTCTTCAACTCTATTTCAATCTTTTTATTTTTATATTTTGCCTTGATTTCAACACATTCTGTGGCTTTCTTCGACTCTAAATTATCCGTTGTCTTTGTACTTAGAGACAGAATTGCCCTTCTGTTTTAGCTTTTAAAATGTATGATCTTTGAGTTCCGTGAGCATCTGCAAACCTAGAGTAAAAGCTGGGAATGCAGTTTGTGCCACTGGAAGTAATTCTGAAACTTGATATGAGAAAAAACTTGTCCTCAGAGATGATCCACGTTTACGGTATGTGTTGGGTGAGGTCTATCCTGGGGACAAGAAGTTAGACTCAAACATTATCTTTGGGTTTGGAGGGAAGAAAACCAAACATGAGTGTCTTCGCTGGGTGTGGTGGGCTGACACCTCAAAGTGGCCAGCACTTTGAGAGGCCAAGGCAGGAGGATCACCTGAGCCCAGGAGTTCAAGACCGGCCTGGGCAGCATGGCAGAACCCCATCTCTACCAAAAAAAAAAAAAAAATTAGCTGGGAGCGGTGGTGTGCACCTGTAGTCCCAGCTACTTGGGAGGCTGACGTGGGAGAACTGCTTGAGCCTGGGAGGCTGAGGCTGCAGTGAGCTGAGATTGTGCCACTGCACTCCAGCCTAGGTGACAAAGTAAGACTCAGTCTCAAAAAATAAAAAATAAAAATAAATAAAGGATGAGTGTTTATCCTAGTAGGCTAGCAGGCAGCTAAGAGTGGAAATCAGCTTCACTATGTCATATTCTTTAAAAAAAGTTTTTTTAGAGATGAAGTATCACTGTTTCCTACCCAGGCTGGCCTGGAACTCTTGGGCTTAAGTGATTCTCCCACCTCAGCCTCCCAGGTAGCTGGAACTACAGGTGTGCACCACCACACCTGGGATACTTTTTATGAAATTCCTGGCTATTTTGGTGATTATTACCGTGATGAGTGTTCAAAACAAAAGGGGTAAGGATGTCCCCCTCGAAGCTAAGTGGTTGGAAGATGCCAGGAAGCTAGTTCTGCAAGTTGAAAAAAAATTCATTTAAAAATTTCTTCTAATTGAGTCTTAATTTTTTTTTTTTTTTTTAAGAGATAGGATCTCACTCTGTTGCCTAGGCTGGACTGCAGTGGAGCAGTCATAGCTCACTGTACCTCTTACCTCCTGGGCACAAGCAATCCTGCTACCTCAGCCTCCTAAGTAACTGGGACGACAGGTTTGCACCAAACCTGGCTAATTTTTAAATTTTGTTGTTGGTGGTGGTTGTCACAACTTGTAGGTAACTTCAAGTGAGTAGAGGACAAGGATGCTGCTAAATGTCCTACAATGGACAGGACAGTGCCACAACAAAGAATTATATGGCTTCCAGTGTCACTTGTGCCACAGTTAAGAAACTGATCCAGATATGATTTTTACATGAAAGTCCCTTCTGACCTTGCATGTAGTTGCCTCTTCCAAGAAGATAGAGATATTCTTCTAAACTGGACCCTCAGAAACCCTGTGGATCCTATTTGATGCTTCCCAACCCTAGAGGCCACCGAGGGTGTTGCTGCCTGTGGTTGGATGGGTGTGGGGTCTGTCATGAGCTTCTGTGCAGCTCTCTGCTCCTATACCAAGGAAACTGCTGATTCAGGGGAGCAGGACAGCACTCAGGAGGTGTGGGCAGAGATTCTCACCCTGATGCAGGTTGGGATCCTCTTCTTTTTAAGCATTAACCTAAATTAACAGCAGCCTTTGCTCTTAGGCATTTTTCCAGAAGCTGTGGCTGTTTGGCTATTGGCATTGGATATTTGCCTTGTGGTATACCCAGAAAAGGATTCAAACCTTACATGTGATGAAGTCTGGGGATGGGACTGAGCTATGGTCTGGATTCTGAGAGTATAAAGATGGCAATGCAGACCCTGCCCAGAGATTACCCAAGCATTTCCACAGACCTGAGCAGGGGCCATGCAGGGTGGTGGAGGTGTGGCAGGGCTGCCTAACTGCCTGTGAAGTCAGGCAAGATCCCAGCAGTGCAGAGTCATTGCTTAGTATCTGCCTGTCACTGCTTTGAACAGTTCCCTCGAATCATTTCATCTCATCCCCACACCGAGGTAGAATTCTAAGAGGTTAGGTCACTTGCTACAGTCACCTGGCAAGCATGTGACCAGAACATAGTCCCAGTGGTCAGTGGCAGGGCAGAGATTTGAACCCAGGTTGTGGAACTGCAAAACTGAACTGTCAGAGGAGCATTTACAGAGAGGGGCAGTGCTTTCATAGCCAAGACTTTTAGGATGGGCTGGAGCTCACCAGGCAAGAGGGAGAATAGGTGTGCTGGGAGAGGGCAGCAGGTATGCCAAAGTCCTGGCAGTGTGGGAGAGCACAGCATGCTGGGGGTTGCAGGTCATTATGGGAAGGGGTGGCGGGCAGGTGCTAGGGAGTGATAGAGGAAGAGGACTCTTGAGAGATGGGCAGGCACCAAATCCTAAGTGGCCTTCAACATCATGCTGAGGGCCACTGCCAGCCACTGGTGAATTAGCAGAGAGGAAGAGGAAGCTGTGTGACATTGAGCAGCTTGCTTAACTCCTCTAGGACCCAGCTCCCCATCCGAACTACCACCTCTAAAACTATATTGCCCTGATGAATGTTCCTTTCATTGGTGGCCGTGTGAGCAGAGTGAAGGGATGACCGGCGTTGACACTGGTGGGACACCCCACCAGCTGATTGATGACTTCTCCCCCTAAGGCTGTGTGATGGGTGCGGGGACTGTGTCTTCTCAGTCTGAACAGTTGGTTCTGTTTCAACTTCCCAGCTTATCATTTGTCGTTGACCAAGTGCCCAGGAAGGACAAGCGACAGTGGGTGTTAAGTATTGTGACAGAGGCAAAGATGTGGTCAGACTTGTTTTTGAGGAGCTTGCAGCCTAGTGGAAGGTCCAGCCAGTGTTCTCATAGCAAGATACAAATCACAAGTGTCTTGAAAGGGAAGTATTCATACCAAACACTCTGGGCATGGAGGATGAAACAGAGCTTACTGGGGTATTGAGGAAAGGCTAGTGAAGGAGAT